ACTAAATTGTATTTTAGTTTAATATAGTTTGAAACCTAGTAATTTCCATCGAAGTTTACGACTGTAGGACTCAAGTAGGTTGTGCCCAGGTGAGAAAGGGTACCACGCTCAGTGATCATACGTTCGGTGTCGTCGGCCAGGAGTAATGGGAAATGCACAGATTTAATCTGGGTGAGTGGTGTCTGGCTGAAGTATTCAGTATGTTGACACCTGCTCCTCCGCCGATGAGTAATTTGTCGGTAGATAGTGGTGGTTTCATACGTACACTAGCAAGAAATGGTCTTAAATAAGCAAAACTTGTTTTATTAGTTCTTCTTGAGCATACATCCTTGACGTGAGAAGTGCGCTTGCATACGGTGCAGTTGAGTCCCGTGACTTTGCAATCAGCGCCAGTGTGGGATTTGTCTGCGCAGCGGCCACAGGCCTTAGTGTAAGCGGAAGATCGATGGCCTTGTTGGATAAAAACAAAACAAGGGTTTGGTGGGCGCGGAGCAGGATGCTTGGAAGCTTCGAGTGAGTCAAGGCGCTTAGTTAAGTTCTGCAGAAGTGTTTCCATGGTTGGAGGCGTCTTCGTGCCGGAGGTAGAGGAGACAGCAGCGACTCTGGGGAGTGTGGCATCGTGAACCTTAGGAGTGACACGATGCCATTGCTCGAGTCTTTTGCAGATGATCAGAGGGGAGACTATATCTCTGTTTGGGTGTCCAGAAGAAATAGGCGTACAATATCCCTGTCTGCAGTGCTGAGTCCAGAGATATAGATACCTTGGACAAAAGTCAAAGAGAAGATAGTTGGTTGTTTTTCTGCGAGCTTGATAACGGTTGTGACGCGTTTACACCAAGTACGAGGCATGTCTGCATCCATGCGCTCGAATGTCTTCAAAAACTCGAAAGATATGGAGTTATTAGATACATCGGACATATATTCATAGGCGCGGCGGAGGTAGAATTATAAACTCCAAGGATCCTAGGTTAACTCCTCGGCTGTGGGAGAGTCAAGGAGGCATTATCGAGTGATCGGAGGAGGAGTGATTTTGCCTGTTGGTAGGTGCCTGCTAATTTCGTATCGCGGCGAAAACGTACAATGCTGTTGATTTTGTCACTATCGGCTAGGGGGTACGTTGTGGAACTGGAGTAGCATTCTGTTGTTTCAGGATCTCACGCTTGATATGTTTAAAACGAAGAACGCCTTCCACGTCGTCCTTGTAGTCCGTGTTGGCGGCAGCAATGAGATGTGCCCACCACTTGTCGTAGTTAGAGCCGTCATAGGAGAGAGTGGTCCATTTGACTTTGCGGCTTGCGCCTGAGTTTGAGTCGGCCATGATGATAATCAAGATAATTTGGTTCAAATTGGTCAAAAAATGCCCATAACCTATAGAGACCAATAAACTTATTATTTATGAATGACTTTTATCGAGTTTTAAGTCCTAGACATCTATACGTCACTAAAAGTGGACTAGTGTCTAATCTTGATTGATATATTATCCTATAATATAGAGATAATAATTGATATGCGCGTCAGTAATTAGGGAGTAAATCCCAGTATAAAACTTACACATAGTGTAGTAAAAGCTTCTTAAGAGTAGAGTTATGTATTACTCAATAGTGAGAGCTTGGAGCGTTGAGAGTTCAGATTGAGATTTGAGAATTGAGAGTTCATCATCTAAAATTTAAAAAAGACAAAGAAAATTAAAAAATTAAATACCTGCCTATTTTATAAAAAATAAATCATACTTTTTTTTATGAAAATTTATACTGACAGTGTCTGTCGACTGTCGCGAGTGTCGTCTGAACACTGCACACTTTTTTTCTAAATTTCTTGGGTTGGTATTTAAACGACGCTAATATTTAGGCAAACGTGACACATAGCACTCTGCAAGTCTGTGTGAAAATTTGTGGTGACTTCAATTAGTCACTAACTGGAGTCAAAAACTATTTCTAGCATTTATTGTTTTAAAAAAAAACACTGATGAACTATCAATACAGGTAACATACAATATTTAAAATAGTAATGAGATTAGGATTTAGGAGACTATAGGTTTCATTTCAGATATTTTCCAAATTTCTATCCGACCAAATTACGACAATGGGATGTTGAGCGGCGCGGAATTAGATCCACATTTTAGACATAATCTCAGTAAGTATGGAAGCGAGAGCAAGTCGACGTTGTCTAGAAAAAGTGGGGTCGAAGACAGTCAGGGATAAATGCTATATGATAGTCAGATCCTGTTGGTGTTGAGGAAGATTGACCAAGAGTGGAACAGCCCTGTTAGGCAATATTGCTAGGAAGGATCGCGTGCGGAATACGAGCCGGTTGAGGACTAAGGGAAATCAAAGCATGACCGTATACAGCTGTCAATGGGATGCGATCGTTCCGTGTATTTTGGTGACAGATTGCAAAATTGAGAATGGCGAATGCAGAGAAGACCTCAAGACTCAAGTTAAGACGCAAGATTCAATATACACACACACACACAC